ACAGGAATCCAGTACAGCTATCACTATATCCTGCAGCAGTAGACACTACGCTGTTGGTTTCAGTTCCAAAAACAAGATATATAGTTATCCGAAGGATTGAACTGTAATGACCCGTCATCAAAATCCCATTCTTCAAGCATTCTGTCACAGTTTCCTTCACTTCCTGTTTCCAGCTTCATGCTGAGGAAGGTGGGGGGGAGGGGTTGTATTTGAAGACCCCTTCCGCCCCTTAGGATGTGGCGATGCTGCAGGGGCCTGTGGTTTTCAGACATGCAGGGCTGGTAATCCACTCCGGCAGTAAAATGGAATCTTTACCGCTCCAGTGGCGCTCCAAACTTTAACACATGCACTGGCAAGCTCCGCGGGTTTCCCCCGGCCAAGTAATTCAACAGCTAAGGGCAGTACATAAAATGCAATTAAGAACAGAATTGTGATTCCTGAATTTGTTTTTACCTAAGTTCAGAGGAAAACAGAGCAAAAAAAAAATTTGAAGTTTCACCGCATCAACGGTATTCGTTTTTGAAAATATTTGCAAATGGCAAATTTTATGTCTGCAATACATATGTTCTAAAACAAATGTTCTAATGCCACATATTCCAGGCCAGTTCTGCCCACTTTTCTTCTTGGACATTTGCTGCCACTCCAAACCTAATTTGGCATTCTTGATTTTTCTAATTTACAGCTTAATTTGATCTCTAGCTGTTGACTGAGGTGCGTTTTGTTGTGGAGACTTGCGGCAAATTAGTGCATTACTGTCCAATACAGGGTGATTCCACTTTCAATCCTGCCAAGATATAGTAGCCATGCTGCCAACGGATTTACGGATTATATTTGTTTGCAAATTTCAGGGAGTGCATGCTGATTGGTTATCCAGGGCTTACGTCCAAAACAACTTTCAGTTGCTCAGACAAGTAGCGTGGGGTCAGGGGCCGTGCTCAAGGGCCCAAAGACTGCACTGATCTTGCTCTGTTGCTACACAGGGGCTTGAACCATCCTCTTTTTGAGTTCCAGACCGGCATCTTAGCCACTAAGGCCGCTCCGTTAATCTTTGCACTCAGTACCAGCATTTGATACTGAGACTCTGAATAAGCTCTGCCAAACAACTCCAAAATATGATTTCAAGAGACTGGAACCCAGCCAGTCATACCTCCCGCCATGCGTGCGTTTTCCGATTATCCTGCTGGGGGAACGGTGATGCACTGGAACTGATGGCTTTAGCACAGCCCATGTGGGCGCTTGTTGTGCCGTCGCTTGCAGCCTCAAAACGCTCTCACGGTACAGCGATCGCGGTCAGCTCAGTTTGCGCTGTCGCGTGCAAGCCGCCACCACTGGAGCATTTCAGACACCCGCTTCTCCAAAACGGCTGCGATTCCCGACAAAAACAAATCCTCGGTTTGCAGTTACGTTTATGCTGAGAGAAATTAAATTGGCTGCGACTCTCCTCGAGTTTCATGGCATTGCATACCCAGTAAGTGGAGAGATCGGAGATGTAGCAAAGGAGCAATGGTGTAGTGGAGAGTACATGTAATGTACAAATTATACCTATTGCTGTTTCTGTCAATTTACAGCCCATGCACCTATCAGCCAAAAAGCCATCAAAATACACTACCAGTCAAAAGTTTTGCACAACCCAATATTTTCTGTATTTCTTACAATTTTTTATATTTTTTTTGTGTAATAGTCTCATATTGGTAGTATAACAGAAAGGTAGGAAAACTGCATCCCAATGTATAAACCATGTATATAACAAAACAATTTAAGAAAAACCAGGATCAGTCATTTTGTCGATATTTAAGCAGATCAGTAACATTGGTCTAATCCAGTGCTTCTCAAGCCTCTCCTGGAGGCCCACCTGTCCTGCATGCTTAAGATCTCTCCCTGCTCCAGCACAGGTGATTCAAATGATCTACTCACTATAAAGCAGCGTCAGGGGGTTGATAGGAAGCTGATCATTTCAATCACCTGTGCTGGATTCCTTGCGGATTCTTCTTGTAAATTAGTTATTTTTAATAAACAAGTATTAGGTTCCAGTGATTCCTTTGTTGTAAACATACGTGTCAGATAAAGACTTGACAAGATCTTGCGTGCAAAAGGTGTGCAAAAACATTTGACTGTTAGTGTACACAGGAGAGTATACCCACTGTCTCCTTAGGGATCTACATACACTATTCTCACTACACACTTGCCACACTACACGCTACTCCCTACGAACGAACTGTTGCTTCTTCTTCTTGTTATTCCTCAGCGAGTTTTTCTGGCGGTTTACGTCGCGTTGCATCTTCGGCAATTTATGTATGAATAGTGAGCTTAAGATGCACCCACAAAATATCTGCCTGATCTAGTATACATCCGGGAACTTCTCGCGGACACAAACTCACTCCCCACGCATAAGTGAACACCCTACCCCCTAAATCTGACGTCATCGGTAGTGCGAGTAGTACGTTAGTGCGCGGTTTCAACACGGCCAGAGTATGTATACCATCTTCTCCAGTGACCACTACACCTTCAGACAAGCCTTGGCACAGCATTAAATTGATTGGATTTATGTTTTTTAAAAAAGTCGATGTGGAGCTTAGGTCTTAAAGGTGAAGAAGCTGAACCCCTTTCAATACCCTGTCCTCCAGGAACCGCGCCAAACCACCCAGCCCTTAACAGCATGCCTCTTGGCTCAAGCGCTGACTGGTCAAAGACAGCTCAGCTCACATGCTTGGCTCAGTCTGAATATCTGTATGATTGATACTTCACTTTTAGTGGCCTGCCATTTTACCTGAGAATTGCACACAAATACCTCGAAAGCATTCAATGAAATGGCGCTGTTTATTGCTGTGATATAATTTCATAATTCTCACTGCATAATAACAGAACAGTCTATACAATGCTTTTTGTTCCTAAGAGGGTTGAGCTGTGTGGCGAGTCTAATTTCAGCAGGAAAAAAGGTGTTTCACCCTTCTGAAGAGCGCGTATGCGTTAAGAATGTAGCTAGAACACTAGCTGCGATACATCAGCTCACGCATGAAGGAAAATTGATTTATTTCGGTTCTTGTCTTCAGTAAGAGATGTTTGAATACCAGTTACTTCGCTAAGCTCAATAGAGCTTTGAAAATCGCTATATATCTTCCACATCATGTCAACTATATCTGTGTGATTATTCTGCCTGTCACCCATAAATTGTAAAAAAAAAAAATTTTTTGTGCTATTTTTTCCATGTAAGAAGCTGATTTCTTAACTGAGGATTGAACAGATCGATACATGGACTACATGCCCGCACTTCTGTGAGACTGCTCTGCATAAATTGTATATCGCCACAGAATCAGATCAAGCAGTGCGCTGGCGATCCAGTGAGCTCTATCAGGTTAAATTGTCCTTGTGGAAGCCATTTTAGTTAAACATCGCCTGGAATAGCTGCCATGTGAAACATACACTGAAATAGGGCTGAATGTGGGGTCAGAAAGAGCATAAAGTGAGAAATTAGACTGAGCTTAATCTCTGCTTCTCCCTGCAGGCAACAGACCTGTTTCTATGGGATCAACCTGAGCAGCCTGTACAGCGCCTCCTCGGATGAGTTCTTCAAGCAGCCCATCGTGGTGAGTTTGCCACGCTTCTGTCAACACTTCAAATCATCTGTCTGTTATTATTCTGTTATGCTGGACATCATTGTCTGCTTTTACTGGTGGTGGCAAAAGTTCTTTGCCCTCTAAACTTGTCAACATGTGATCAAACCCCCTGTTTTAAGTTTTTTTGTTACAGTTTTCTTTCTCTTAGGATACGTTTGATATGCAGATTCTCATGGCGAAATCTGTCAAATACAGCATCAATTTTCTGGAGACCAAAGAGGAGGACCTGCAGAGGTTAGTGCTCAATGGCTTTAACCAGTAGAAAGTAAAACTGCTGGAGCTTAGCAGATGTGGGCTCATGTAGTACTCAGATGTTTGACAATTGATGCCAGCTGCGATAGCGATGCTGGTTTCGTTTTCAATTGATCGATGTCTATATTATATTATGTTTGTGGGTGTGTTTGATGACAATTCTTGTGAACATGATAGCATTGCAACTGTTTTAAGATGCAGTCATAAAACATAACAGGTGAGTAGTTGGGGTACAAAGAAAGGCTGAGTTTGAAGATGGATCTGATCTGAGCACGTACTCACTGACCGAGTTGTAATTAGGACTGTGATACTGAAAACAATACCATCATCGCTGTCGTGGCTGGTGCAATCCCAGATGGACTCTAGTTGCAAGGTGTTGTGGGATGTACTGGTGGCCCTGTATCTCCCTAGAGTTAACACCACAGCAAAATGATGAGGTTTCTGTGCTTAAGACCATCCTACAACCTACCTCTGATTGGTGGAATTTTCTTGCAACTTCAACTTTGATACCCGAGGTTGTCACTGGAAATTGTTCTCAGATGAATGGTCCAGGTTAATTAAAGCTGAAATGGAAGATATTAGGAATGTTCATGTTGTAAATATGGCAGGAATATTATGTCAAGATTTGCTTTATTTTCAGGATGGAAATTCCCTTTGTCTTCCATCTCATCCAGTCTGGACTGATCCATGGATTGGCAGTCTGGTTTGATGTGGCATTTGTTGGGTCCAGGTAAGATTAGGCTGTTCTAGTATTGCATCTCATCTCTCAGTTTTGTGTCATTTATAGTGCCGCTCTACAATAACAAGGCAGCACACCTGTATTTTGGAATTCAATGAAGACCCAAGTTGAAGATGAATGCTATTAAAAGTCAGTGAGGTCACGGGATGCCACCTTTCAGAGTATCTGTGCTTTTAGGGTGACGGTATGGCTGTCCACCTCTCCAAGCGAACCTCTGACCCACTGGTACCAGGTCCGCTGTCTGCTTCAGACGCCTCTGTTTGCCAAGGCCGGTCAGACGCTGTCAGGAACAGTTCTGCTCATGGCCAATAGGAGGTGAGAGAGCTCATCTACCATTGGGCTAATATTTCACCAATGGTTTTTCAAATTTTAAAAAAAGGTTCCTCTGTTGGGGTGGTATGGTGGTGCAGTGGGCAGCACTTTTGCCCCTCAGCAGGAAGGTCATGGGTTTGAATCCCACCTGAGGCTTTTCTGTATAGACTTAGAAAAGTTCTGTCCATGTTTGCAGGAGTTTCCTCCAAGTACTCCCATTTCCTTCAACGAAGACAAGCATTTTAGGCACACTCTAAATTTCTAAATTGAAAATCTGAATTTGTTAACGAATGTTGTGTGATCCCTACGATGAATTAAAGAACTGTCCGGTGTGTGTTTCTGTCTCTCACCCATTGCATGCTGGGATTGGAGACAGGTCTCCTCCTATCCCAGCATGCAGTGGGTGAGAGGAGACTCGCCTGAGGAAATCATCAAGATGCACATCTTGTCCCGTTTAATGTGCTACAAGCTCAAGGTCTACAAGTGTTCCAGATCTCCAATCATTTTAGGCGTAAATCTGATGAAATGCTGAAACAAGGCTGCTTTTCATTTTGATACGGTCATGATGAAACTCTGTTATGGGAGCTGGGTTAGCGCAGCACTCCCTCCTGCAGCCATTTTTGGTTTTGCAATGAGGAACCTAAAATGGTTTTGCTCAGTCAGTTGATTTTGATCAAGACTGACAGTAAGTTAAGGGCAATTTAATCAAAAAACAACTCTTTTGTTTTCAGACTGTCATAAGCAAACTGCAAGATAAATGCTGTTTTGGGCTTGTCTTTTCCTAGGCAAAGCTACGACATTCACATCACAGCAGTGGTAGACCAGTCAGGCTTCAAGTCTGGCAACAGTCTGGACCTCAAAAATCCCTTCTTCAGGTAAGTTACATACAGTAGTGTGAATCTGGAAATAAAATCCCCTTTGAATGAATGAATGAATGAAGTTTATTTTTGAACATGTCCATATTGAAATTTGCCAAGAAAGTGGAATAACAATAATGAGATTGTCAGCAAAGAAAATAACACAATTAATTTAACAAAAAATACAACCAAAAGTAATTGTGACCTGTTCAAAAAAGGAGTAGAGGGAAGCAGAAGCTTGTAGATCCCTACCCCCTTATTTCTTTTAGATTTCTTTTAGTTTACAATACTTTCATGGTCACCATTTCTACCATCTATATACATTTACATATTACCTTTCTACATGTGAACTAGTTGCAGCAGATCAGACATTTAAAAAATTCTTCCTTTGAGTGAGCTGTACATCAGAAACTCATGGTAGCATTGACATTTCTCCCTCATCTCTGCTGCAGAAAAGTAAGCACTAAAAAACACTGAATGACCTGTCTCTACACCTTTGAAAAGGAAATCTCCATTTCTCATTCATTTTGTCTGTAGTCTCACTGAAGTAAGAAGGCCAATGCTAGCAGTAGGTGTTATAAATTTCTACCTACCACCCAGCCAATGCAAGATGTTCTTTCAATGTGCCTGAAATGTATTATCGATGTTACACTTTGTGTTCGCAGCACCTTATAAACAAAGGAATCAGCCTGAATGGAGCGAACCATTCACAATGACCATGAACAATCTGCGGTTTTAAATTCCTTGTTTGAACATTATTGTTCCTGATTGAACTGGACTTTTGCCCCTTTTCCCCAGGTATGCCTAGGACTAGCTGCCATCGCTCAGCTGTGGAGAAAACCTGGGACAGACTATCAGTGTCTTTCTGACCTGGAGTCAGGGTTGCTGCTCAGCCAACTCCAGGTGGTTTTGATGTGATACCTTGGTCATGTGACCTGGTGTCCGTGGGAACCAGCGCTGGCACTTCCTTAGTGTGTCACATATAATGTGTGCTATACGCTCACTGAGTGGTTAAACTGTGATAACTGCAAATAAATTCAACTTTCTTTTTTTTTTAAGCACAGAACTCCACTCTCATTCCACATATAATCAGGCCAATTAACCAGAAAACCTGAACCACATGTAATTGCATTTTAATCAAGCTAGCTAATTTACTGTTAAAAGTGCTGGCATCATTTCACTCAGCATCACCCACGTCTGTTCGCCATTCTTCTTTATTGCATATTTTAAATGGCAACGTGATGAATAAGCGTAATTATGTTGCACAATTATGCCAACAAAAACATGCACAAACACAGAAACTGTAGCTCATTTTTCTGTAACAAAAACCCAAACCCTACTGCGTGGATAATGTCTGCTCAACAAAATTATTTTTTGCCTATTTTGTTCAAAACTTTGTATTTGAATACAATGATTTGGCCCGAGTTCTTTGTTTCATATGTTTTTCTTTTTTTTTTTTTTTTGCCCAGTGGTGTCTGCATATTAATGAATCACAGTAAACAGTTGCCCAACATTTAAATAGCTTTCAAGAAGGATGTGGGTAATTACTATATTTAACATTTACTCATTAAAAGAGCTAATGTTCAATACTGCAAAGAAAGACAGAAAAAAGGAAGAAATGTGACATACTCTTTGGTACGAAGGAATATATTTATTGACAGTGAAAAAGAAGAAATTGATAAATACAAAGACATGCAATGCTGCCAGCAGAATGTGGTGTGCATTGAAAATAATTTATGGCCACAGAAAGAAAATGTATTGCAACATATAAAATGCACCCTGTAAAAGGCAAAGACTTACACCCTTTTCTGTACATACTACCTTGTATGAATTATGTCATCACATTTATATTCCTCTGCAATGAGGTCTTACAGAAAACTATCAGTCAAATCATGCCAAATTTCAGATATTCCAAACACAGATTAAACATCTTGCTATCTTAAATGAAACGTTGAATGGAGATTCACCTCAGAAAATCCTATTTAGTCCAGCACTAAACTTGAAACTAGCCCAAAGAGTCTATACGCTATACGTATGTATATGTGTGTGTGTCTGTGCATGCTCTTGTGTTTATATGCATGTGTATATGCCTGTGTATAAAAAGTATGGTCCTTCGTGAATCCCTGCAACAGTAGGAAGTAGTTCTGTTCCTCCTGAATAGGTGTATGGGCTTTATATGTGTGTGTGTGTGTGTGTGTGTGTGTGTGTGTGTGTGTGTGTGTGTGCGCTCCTGTATCAGTCCCCGTAGCAGGAAAGAGCGGTCCTCTCCCTCCTGAATGGGTGCACGGGCTCGCCGCTGGAGCGCGTCTGGCTCAGCACCTGCTCCAGCTTCTTCCTGTACTGCTGCTGGGAGGTCAGGCCCCGCTGGAGCTCCGCCTCTTCCTCCGCCCGCTCCGCCTCCCTCTTCTGCTGCCGGAGCACCATCTGGGCCAGCAGCTCCGCCTGCTGCTTCTGACGCGCTCTCCTCACACTGACCAGAAAGGAAGGGGGCAGCCATTTTGTGTTTACAACATTTATATGGAGCCAAACGAGTGGGAATTACTGCCCTCTGAGCTCACACCGCAGCCCCAAATTCAGACATCGCTCAATGTGCGTAATCGGCAAGCATGCGTTCACGTGCATGTTTATCTGTGTGTCTGTGTGCGTGTACATGCAGCACAGTGCTGTGATAAAGTATTTGCCCCCTCTCGACTCATTGTCTGGGGATTCTATGATTTCATTCATGGAAAAATGTTATCCAACCCTATCTGACCCTATGTGAAAAAAGTAATTGCTCTTTTAGTTGCTAAATCAAACAGTTAAATTCAATTGATAATTGGGTTTAATTTCACTGGACACACCCAGGCATGATTACTGCCAACCCTGTTGAATCTAACCGTCACTTAGCACGAAGCAGCAGGTAATGCTGGGATCTAAAGAGATTCTAGAACAGATGATGGAGAAAGTCATTGACATCTATCAGTATGAAGAGAGTTACAAAGCAATTTATGAGGCACTGGGACTCCAGTGAACCACAGAGAGAGCAATTATCTACAAATGGAGAAGACTTGCTACTACGGTAAACCTTCCCAGGAGTGGTTGGCCTACCAAATTTCCTCCAATCAATGACTCATCCAGGAGGTCACGAAAAAATCCAGAGAAACATCTAAGGAAGAGCAGGTCTCATTTTACTCTGTTTAGTTCAGTGTTCACAGTTCCACAGTAAGAAAGACACTGGGCAATGGCATCTGTGGAAAAACTGCAAGGTTCAAACCACAGCTGACAAAAAGCCTAAGCACAACTAAGATATGGGTCCTAAAGTCAAACGTGGTTGTAGTGTGATGGTCCAGAGCTGCTTTGCTGTTTCAGGACCTGGATGACTTGCATAATTGATAGAACCATGAATTCTGCTCTCTACCAGAAAACCCTGAAGAATATTCGGCCATCAGTTTGTGACCTAACCATCAAGCACAGTTGAGTTATGCAGAAGGACAGTGATCAGAAACACGCAAAGAAGTCCGCCTCTGACTGGCTCAGAAAAAAAACAAAATGAAGGTTTTGAGTGGCCCAGTCAAAGTCCTGGCTTGAATCCGATTGAGATGCAGTGACAAGACCTTAAACAGGCAGTTCATGAAAAAAAACCCCAAATGTGGCTGAATTAAAACAATTCTGCAAAGAAGAGCAGGCCAAAATTCCTCCACAGCAGTGTAAAGGACTCTTTGCCAGTCATTAAACTTTTCATAGCACAGGTTGCTACCAGAGGAGGCACAACCAGTAGTATAGTTTAGGGGGGCAATTATTTTTTCATATGGGTGATATAGGTTTTGAATAACTAATCACCTTCAATAAATGAAAATATCAATAAAATGCTGCACTTTATGTTTGCTCACGCTGTCTCAGTCTTATATTAAAATTATTTAGATGATCTGAAAGATTTAAATCTGACAAATAAGCAAAAATAGAAGCGATCAGGTAGGGGGAAAATACTTTTTTCGCAGCATGTCTGTGTGTGCACATGAATACACTGTGTGGATGCATGTATACGTGTCAGTGTGTGTATATGCTGGATGTATGTATGTGCATGTATATTTGTACTGTGTGTGAATGTTGTGATTATGTAGATCTGTGCGTTAGTGTTTATTGATGTATGCATGTATGTAGTGTATGTATGTTCGATTATGAGTGCGTGTGTTTGTGCGCATACAGATGTGTGTGTGTGTGTGTGTGTGTGTGCGCGTGCGTGTTCTTGTACTTGCGTGAGAACCAAAAAACGTGTTTTTCCTAAGAGTGAATGTTTGGGAGTGTGTACATTTTAGCATG